GACAAAGCTCCTAAAAAACGTAGTTACTAAAATCGGAGAATTTACGAATATTTCAACTATAATTAATTCATCTAACCTTTTGAAAAAAATTCAAATTTGGATTCGAACCGAGATCCTTCTTGATCAGATCCCCAAATGACTGAAACACTTTGACAGCTACTCTTTTGAGTAAAATCGAATCCCAGGATTCGAACTGGGATCCTTTTTGTTCAATTGCCTAAATAACTGGAACACTGAGACTGTTTATTTTGTGAGTGAATTGAAGGAATTGAAGGATCGTTTTTGTTCTTGAATAGAAATCTTACACAATTCATCTTTTAACTAAATTCAAACCGGAATTGGAAGCTCAATGAGTGTAACATTAAGACGTTCATTTAAACCAGGATTCGACCGGGATCTTTCTTCGAATGCTTAAATGACTGGATGACTTAAGCGGTTTATTTTTTGAGTGAATTCGAACCGGTATCCTTCATGATCTTGACTGGAAAACACAGAGAATACACATTTTTCAAAAATTCAAACCCTGATTCGAACCGGGATCCTTCATGTTCTTAACAAGAATACTTAGAAAATTCGTCTATTAAATTAATTCAACCCGGGACTCAAACCGGAATCCCTCTTCTTCGATTGCCTAAACGACTGATACACTCATAACTCTTGACTGGAAAACTTCAACGATTTAATCCGGGATCTTTCTTCGATTGCTTGAATGACTGGGTCAGTTAAGCTGTTTATTGTTTGAGTGAATTTGAGCCGGTATCCTTCAAGTTCTTGACTGGAAAACACAGAAAGTTCAATTCAAAAAATTCAAACCCTGATTCGAACCGAGTTCCTTCTTTTTCGATAGCCGAAATGGATCATTTAGATAGTTCATATTTTAAGTAAATTCAAATCAGGATTCGAACCGGGGTTCTTCTTCTGACTGGATTACTTAAGCAGTATATATTTTGAATAAATTAGAACCGGGACTGGAAAAAGCAGACTATGCATATTTTAGACAAATTCAAACCCTACTTCGAACCGGGATCCTTCTTCTTTGATGGCCTTAATCACTGGAATACCTGGCTAATTTATTAAAGACAACTATATACAATGATATATTAAAGCAAGATTAATTAGGAATATGCATTGTTTTGTGCTTGCCTAAAACAATTCATGGGCACTTGTCTAAGTTTCTACGTCTACTTGAAATTAGTAGCATTTCGGTAAGCGCTAAGCGGACACTTCAACTTGCAGTTGCACTTCGCGACAACTAATTTGTTAACTTGTTAACTCGAGGACCAATTTGGCGTGCATTCCGCTAATGGGACGATCATTAATGGGCATTAAAAACTAGCATATGCTCGAGAGCTGCTTCAGAGTACAGAAATAGTTAGATGGGCTCCGCAAAAGCTTTGGCTGGCAGCTGGCAGCTGGCGCTAACACAGGTAAATCCACTCAAAGGCTCGCTGCCTTTTCAGAGCAGCCAAGGCCGTAAGCTCCTTTGAGTGCTTTGATGAGTTTTCACATAAAATCATAGCGGATTCGCGGCCAAAGGCAACCTAAACTCAACAGTCAGCGTGACTGTCGGGCGCAGGCACTCGCACACACACACACACACACACACACATATATATATATAGATATGTATCTCTCACACACGCTCTCAAGCGCGTACATAGACAGGCAAACGAATTTTCCGTATTTTCCACAACCGCTAAAGACTCGTCGCAGCGTCAGAGAGCCACACGGACGCTGCCGCTGCCTCTGCCGCTGCCGCTGCCGCCGCTGGCGTCGACGTTGACATTTGGCTTTGCCACCCTTGTAGTAAATGTGAGTTTTCCTTGCGTTTTCATTTTTCCTGCGTTGCTTTTCATTATTTTCTTGGCTTTACTTTTTCTTTTTTTTTTTTTGGTTTTTTCACACGACAAACATGAAATGAAAATTCGCTTTTCACGCTCTCACCCTGGCTGAGAGCTCCTGCACCCGCTGTCGCTCGCTCTCGGAAATCTCGACAGCGACGTCAATGTCAATGCGTCGCTGCCGGCGTCGCTGCCAGCAGAGACCAAACCACTCACTTGGAAAATATTCGGTTATCCGTTTGGAACGTTGGCGGCGGTGTTTTTATTTCTTGTTATTTTTTTGTTTTTATTTTATTTTACTCTCCTTCCTCTTCTTCTTCTTCTTCTTCTTCTTCTTATTCTTTTTTGCTTTCAATGGAGGAGCACAGGTCAATACAGCTGAAATAGCTTGAGCTAAAAGTATGTGACATCTTGTAAAGTCATTCGATGTCCAGCTCATGGCAACTATCTTTAACGTTGGCTTCAGATTCAGCTTCAAATCATACTTAATCATACTTTAGGCCGATCTTCGCTTCTTTTAAGAAGTCTATTCGAACTACTTTAAAACGAGTTCTTTATATCTACGGCAAAAATCTAGCCTTTGATTGGTAAACTGCTTTTTTTACGATTTTCCAAGTTGAACTCACAACAAAATATTTCCAATGCATTGAAAGATAAGCTTCATAAATAAATTTTTGTTTAATTGCATTTTTATTCGGATTAAATTAAAGTCATTAGTTGCCAGAAATGATGACAATTTGCAAAATTGAAAAATGTCGTCTATGGGCTTTGTCTTAAGACAAAATTCCTGCAAATCGATTGAATTAAAAAAATATACATATTTACTATATAAATGTAAATTATGGGGCAAAATAAAATAAATACAATTAAATAATAATATTTAATTAGCTGGCACAAAGTCCGAGGCTTAATTTATTAAAATCAAAACTGAAAACAATTTTCTGTTAATATATATTTCTCCTCCAATCTATTTTGTTGGCGCCTTGACAACCGTCTTCAGGGAAATTATTCTACACGTCCACGCTCTTTGATGTGGAGGATGAACAAAAAACATAAAATAAAATATATATATATATAAAATAGAGTATAAATAATAAAAAATATATATAATCTAGTGTAATTGAGTACATTAAATTTTATTTAAAATTTCAAGCCACTTTCCGGACTTCTTTCTGTAATAAAATGCTAAAAATAAGCAAATAATAGAACCAAACTCTAAAAAAAAAAATTAACATAAATTAGAATCCCAATTTTTCGAAATTTGAATTTTCCAGCAACAATATATATTGATTGACAACATAAATATATTCATACAATATTTAAGTTTTTATTAATAGTATTATAATTGAAATATATGTTTAATATTACAAAAGTATATCCCGAAAATATATTATTTTAATGTATATATAATATAGTTACAGTACATTAAATAGTATTTGATTGTTTAGCGAATCTTCTAATCACTGTACTGCATTTTTTTATTGAAATATTATTGTAATTTAAAAATAAATTTATTCAATTCTTTTATATATTCCTATATAGCTGAAAACATATGAAAGCATTTGAATGTTTTTTCCAATCACTATAATATTATTGTAATTAAAAAATTACTTTATTATTTGAAAATTATCGAATGAGCTCTTTCCATATATCCACATATAGTTAAAAACATATGAGAGCATTTCAATGATGAATTTATCTGCCAATTGGTTTTCTTATATTATTTTCTATTCGATTTTCTTTTTAGTTGAGGGCGCGTTGCAATCACTTGTCTGCCGACTGCTTGTAGGCACTGTGGGATAGGCCGCGTGCAACAAAAAAACACAATCACAACAACAACAACAACCAAAACAACAACAACAATAACAACAACAACAACAACAACAAGCGAGAGCGACGGCTGCTCAGCGACTCGGACTGCGACTCCGACTTTGAAAATGCTCGCTGTAAGCGGACGGGCGGATAAACGAGCGGATAGACGCCGCTCGCACACACACATACACACACACACGTGCACACGCACAGTTACATATACACGTGCCAGCCATTTTGATTTGACTCCGCCGCAATAACAACAACAGCAACAACAACAACAGCAACAGCAACAAGAAGAAGAAGAGCAACTCACGCACAACTTTCACTGTTTGTGGATAGGAAAAATGCGTCGGCAAGCGCTCTGCCAGCGGCAGCTGCTCGGCTGCTATCGCTGCCACTGCCGCTGCTGCGCGTGCTGCTGCCGCTGCTGCTGCTGCGTGAATTTTCCACAGAAATTTTCATTGCAACATTTGAGCGTCGTTGCCAGTTTACTCGTCGCCGTGCCGCGCGTTCGTTCGTTCGTTCGACTCTCAGCTCTCGAATCCGAAACCGAAACTGAAACCAAGCCAAAAGCAAAAAGATTAAAATTAAAAAAAAAAAATACACACATATATGTATATATATAAATATATATATATATATATATAATAAGAAATTAGACCCGATATCGTTTCTGGACACTAGCGTTGTCCATCGCCGCTGTCGTCGCCAACGTTGTTGTGTTTTTTTGTCTGGTGGTTGAGTGAAACAGTGAAAGAACGGCAAGTCCAGTGGAAAAAGTACGGCCCGATACCGATACCGATACCGATATACGAATATCAATATCAGCAATACCAATACCAATACCAATACCAATATCGATACCGATACCGATAACAAGCTACGGAAACCCAAAGCAAAACCAAAATTAAACAATTGATATTTTGTAATTGTAAGCAAGCATTTTCCAGTTTTCCGTCAGCGTCGACGTCGACGTCGACGTCGCTGTTGCCGTCGCCGTCGGCGTCTTACGCACTCGCACGCATCTGCTGCTGTCCTGCTCGCACAGCCAGCCTACCGTATGCCCATAGAGCATCGCTCTCTTTCCCATTCCCATTGTCGTACCCATACCCATTCCCTTACCCTTACCCTTACCCTTACCTCTGCCCCTGCCCCTGCCCCTGTTCATAACGTTTCTGATTCTGTTGTACTGAGCGGTCCGTCGCCGTCGTCGTCGTCGTCTTTGTCACCTACGCAAAAATCAATAAGCCTCCCAAAAAAAAAAAAACGGAAGAGAATTCCCTAATTGTGTGTGTTTTTGTTGTTGTTGTTGTTGTTTTTTTCGAGGGGGGGGGGGCCCGAAAATCAATCGAATTAAAGATTGTGAGCGCGCGCTCATTCGTTTTCCAACACTGGCTGGGCGCTGTAATTGGGTATTCGATAGTTGTTTAGGAGAAACTTAGACAGCATTTGCAGTGCTGTTAATTTCAGTTTTCATAACGCTCTGGAACAATTCATCAACTCATTTCACTCGTCAGTTTCAATTTTTCTCCCTCAACAACAAAAATTATCCAAAATAAAAATCCAAAAAGTATTTAAACACATCATAAAATCCAAACCGAGCAATTCTATCATCATTTGTCGTTTTCCCCACAAATTTTCGGCTCTTAATTAAAATTCGTCCATATAGACAATATATATATGTATACATACACATATCTATATATATATGTTTATATATGCAGATAGCCACAGACAATTTTCGATCAAGTCCATTAGACGACGCTCGCATTTTTCACATATCTACTGAACCAGCCATCATCAACAACAAAATCGCAAGTGGGCCCCACCAGCTAAATCAGAAGAGTTACGACCTACCAAACAAAACCATCCAGAAACAATTGAGTTAACAGTCACAAAAAGCTACAACGAGCAGCCGAGCAGTCGAGCAGTCGAGCAGCCGAGCAGCCCAGCAGCAGCCCAGCAGCAGCAGCTACAGTGATCGATATTTTGACTCAAGAGGAACCTTCTTCTGCCATACTTGAACAGGCTGCTCTTCGTTTCATCCCAGATAAGCACCGACACACCTGACGGCGCATCGTTATCACAACACTGCAAACTGAATATATTGCGCAACTGTTGACTTGTCTTACACTCTGTCTGGCCACTGAAAACGCTGTGCAACAACAACAAGAAAAAAGAAAACAATTACCAATAGCCAGGCCCAAACCGTAACAGTTATCCATCTATCAAAGCTAGCAGGAATCTGTAAGTATCTGTTATTGTCGCATATCTAAAAATAACACTGCCTGGGTCCTGGCTAAGGATGTACTCCATCTATGTATATGACAATCAATCAATAACGCAGTTGCACTTCGATCAAATCCCAACAGCACACATATTGAGCTTATGTGCGAAATTTATATATATATATATATTAGATATATTAATATACTATTTAATTTGTGTCTGTGTGAGACTCTCATATGGCATTTGGAACTGACTAAAGATAGAGTATATCTTGGCACAATCAATCATATGTCAGTTGCACTTCAATCAAATCCCAACACGAACATTAGTGGAAAAATTATATAGATTATAGTTAAGGTGTTGGAAAATATTTAAAGATCAGATTGAATCGAAATGTCTGCAAGACTAGCCCGACTTATGTCTAATGTGTATATATATTTTATATTTACATCTTTATCATATTAAATCGATATGTCTATAATTTTATCCCGTCTCACGCAAACTCTTATATATATATATATATATTTAATAATTAGAGTAAGATTTCGGCAATTATCAGAGTTATCATGGAAAAATCTGGATATACTTTCTTCTAGTCCACAAGACTATCCCGACTTAGGTCTAATGTTTGTTTGTCTGAGACTCTTTTATGACATAGATAATAACTAACTCTTAAAGATTCTATTTATATCAACTAGAAAAGCAGGATTTTAGCCAACATCAAGCGGCACTTAGGTTATGCCTTAAACTCTGTATGGCATATAAAATATCTAACTCTTATGGATTTGATTTATAGCAGTTTTTAAAGTAAGTTTCTAGGAAAAGAAGCCGCAACCTTTGAATATCCCGACTCATGTCTGTGTGGGGCTCTTATATAGCATATAGGATGTCTAACTCTTTTAGATTTAATTTAAACCAATTATCAAAGTAAGATTATAGAAAACATCAGGATCCACCTTCTTATAGTCCACAAGACTATGCCGAATTATGTCTAATTTTTGTTTGTGTCAGACTCTTATATGCCGTATATTCTATTCTATACAATCAAAGTGAGATTCTAGGCAAAATCAAGCGGCACTTAGGATATGCCTTAAAGTCTATAAGAGGAAGAATATCTAACGCTTATAGAATTGTGTCTGTATGAGACTCTTATATGGCATATAGAAAATCGAACTATTATTGATTTAATTAATAGCAATTATTAGGTCAGATTATAGAAAAAATCACTCCTATGTATTCCTATAATTTATATTGTTCCTTTTCTTAGGATTGTCTTTTTCATTTCTCCATAATTAAATGAAACTGCCAAATTTAAGAATCTCATATCTGTTAGAGATACATTTTTGTTTTTAAATAAACCTTATCCGTGCACATTAAAACGATATAATATTCCAACTCTAAACAACTCGAACAAGATATATTTATTAGTTTTTTTGTTTTTAGTATAGTCTAGAATTGGATGTTTGCGTATATCCGCTTCAGATAATGGGAAAATTTAGTTTCTTATAATTCTTGAAACGGATTTTGGAAAACGTCTTGACCAGCTCGAGTTAGAGAGCGCGGATAGATTTAATTGGACTATTCCAGAGCTATTTATGAGATTGAATTTATGTAATATCTGTGGCAACAACTGCAACTTTGCATTTGCTGTTGCAGTTGCACATTTGCTGTTGCAGTTCGATTGCCTATTTTTAAGTCAGTTTGGGGCGATGCATTCGGGAATTGTGTGTGTCTATTTTAAATGGCGAGTGGGGCGATGGCGCGTGCCATGAATGAATCTGAAGCTGTCTGGTGTTTGCCCCCCCCCCCCCCCCCCCCTCTCTCTCTCTCCACTCTCTCCACTCTCTCTCTCTCCACTTTTGCTCTCTCTGCCCCCCTCAAGCGCGTAGATCGCTTGTCTAATCCACATAGATGTGTCTGTGGCATGGGCTAAATTTAATGCATTCTCAAGTGAGGCACGGCAAAGTTAGCTTCTTCTTCATGGAGACGCGCAAAATGCTTTCAAATCAATTCGAAAGTTCAACAGCCGCAAAATCACAGAGAGAGAGAGAGAGCGATTGTAACTGGCAGTGGGAGGAGAGACAGAGAGAGAGAGAGAGAGAGAGGGAAAGAGAGCGAGAGAGTCTGCTGCGAGCACAGCATAAAATTAGAATCAAATTTCTTAGGGGACGCGCATTCCACAGACGCGGAAATCGCGGCAGCCAGTGTGGCCAGATCTCTTCGGACAGCGGTCAGTGGCTGTTGGCTAAACGGATTATGCAATACGCTGTCGCCCCCCCCCCCCCCCCTCCCTTTCTGTGAGCAGCACTAATAGGATCAGCGCGAGCAAGCTTTCAGCTAGCTGCATAACTGTACCGACGGCGAGAGCGCGCGCGCGCGCTTTATGTCATGCGGTTGTCCTTGAGCCAGGCATCATAAGCTCTCGCTCCTCTCTCTCTCTCTCTCTTCTCTCTCTCTGTCCCACTCACTTGTGCATATGTGCTGCATAGTTATATAGTCTTTATTCGCATACTAGTTCTATCAGCTATGGCTGCCCCCCTTGCCTCACTCCACAGAGCTGCCTCTCTCCCCCCGCCCCCCCCCCTACCCATACCTGGCCCGTTTCAGCTTATTGAATTACTTGTCGGCGCGTGTGTGTGTGTGTGTGTGTGTGTGTGCTTGCCTGTGCCATTTGCTGTTTGCTTTCTTGATGCCATTTCGTGCATAATTGTTAAATGTCCTGTTTTATTCAGTATTTACCTTGGCTTAGCAACTGGCAACTCGTCCTGGTCTCTGATCCCTGATCCCTGCTCGTGTCCCCTCATCCCGTTGCTGAGCTCTGCTTCTGTTCACACGGCACGCACAATAGACACAACGTTTGTTGCGTTCCCATTGTTCGGCGGGACACTCGTTTTAAAAGTTGTTTTTTATTTCTCTTCCTTTTTTTTCTTTCATTAATTTTTTGGCTGGTTTTGCAGTATTTTTTTTTTTTCATTAAGTTTTTAGCCGTTGTCTCTGCTGCTGCGGACAGCCTGTGTTTGTTGTTGTTGTTGTTACTGTCTCCTGCTTTCTCTTTCTCTCTCGCTCACGCGTTAATTTGTGCTGATCTGTTGCTTTAAAGCTCTTGCCCACGCCGCGGCCGCCATTTTGCTGCATCGGATATACATATATGCCTATACATATACATATTCAAGTCTATCTGTTGCATTTCTACACGCACAACTTTTGCCTCCCAGCACTTGCCTCTCGCTCTGCCTTGCAGCTGATCCATTGCAAAAGCTCTGCTTGGCCGCATAAACTATGTTGTGTGCGTGCGTGTGCGTGTGTGTGTGTGCTTGAGTAATTGCATTACATTTTGCATTCAACCGCACACATACACACACGCACACACACATAGCTATGCGAGCTGCCATTCGCTTTCATTTAATTGCGACGCTGATCTACTGCCTCGAAGCTCTGCTTGCCCGCCTCCATTTTGCTAGGCCTGACATACGGACATGTGTGTGTGTGTGTGTGGGTTGGTGAGCATTGCAATGCGAATTGCAGTTGTCAAAGCACACGCACACACACATACACACACACAGCACGCACTTGCACACATAAATATGCCCGCTGCCATTCGCAGGCTGCCTTGTCAGGCCTATTGCTGGCTCTCTCGCTCTCTCCCACAAACACACACACACACATGCACACGCATACACCCACACCAACACAATCGGCATTTGCTTTTCATTGCATACTTTGCAGGGTTGCTGCTGCAGTTGCTGCGCGCGCCATTTTTGTGTTGCACTTGTTGTGCAAGCACGCACACACACACACACACACTCGCACACACGCACACACATTTATGCATATATTTTGTAGAGGACACACGAACCCTTCGCTGGCAGCCAGTGCAGCCGCTGTCGCTGCCGCTGCCGCTGCAACGCGCAGCAGCTGCGAAAATCAGGCAGCACGAGTCGCGCTCTTTGCATTCGTCTGTCATTCGCTGCCGACTGCTGGCTGCTGGCTGCATGCAAATTGCACGCCCACTACCCCAGCGGGCAAGCAGCTCTCGCCCCTCTCTCTCTACCCCCCCCCCTCCCCTCCTCTGGTCTATAAGTTAACCCCTCAAACGATGCGCTGCAGCGTGTGCAGGGATTTGTATGCGAACAACAAAAGCTGCAGGCGCACAGCCCAATGTGGCAATGTGGCAATGTGGCAATGTGCAACCCCCTTTTGGTTGCTTGTGGCAACCTTTAACCCCTGGGCGCAAGGCTTTTGTATGGCAGAGGATGCACTTTTTGTGTCTTTGAATTATTGGCAAATAAAAAGGCATGAAAAGCTTTCAGCTTTAATTGGCTTGTCGCCTGCTGCAATAAAACTCATGCGCTCTCGCTCGCACTCTCTCTCCCTCTCACTCTCTCTCTCTCTCGCTCTCTCTCTCTCTCGCTCTCTCTCTGTCTGTCTCTACTATCTCGCGGTCACTCTGTGCTTGTCTCTGTGGCTTGCATTTGCTGCGGCCATCCCTCGTCTTTTGCTTTTTTGCCCATTAAACGTCAATTAATGTCACCTTCAACAACTGCAATTGCAATTGCGGCAACAACAACAACAACAACAACTTGGCAGCCCCTGGACCCTGCTGCTACTCCTGCTCCTGTTGCTCGCTGATTTTGTTTTGATTGCGACGCGTGCGTCGCTGTCACTTGGCCCCTGCCACATCTCTTGGCCTGCACCTGGCCGCGACTCAGACAAACAGACAGACAGACAGACCGACAGACCGACAGAAAGTGAGAGGCGAGCGGAAAGGCAGCGCGGTAACGGGGGCAACGGGGCAGCGGGGCAGTTGCATGTGCAACAAGTGTCCTGCATTTTGCTAGCGTCTGTCCTTGAAGTTGTTCACGCGTGTGTGTGTGCGTGTGTGTGTTATGAGTGTATGACATATGGCTGCGGTAAAAGTTGATGTTATTTGATTTTCAGCACAATTGCACACAAATGGTCAAAGATACAGATGTATGTGCGTATATAGCCCGACTATGTACATATATACATATACATAT